TGCCACTGGGGCATTTTTAAAAGTAATAGTTAATTGCAGGTTTATTTGTGTAACTGTGTACGAATCATACATTGTGTAGTTCAACTTTTGTGAATTGGCGCTTGTTGTATTACTGTGTCATGTTACAAGAACCTTCTAAATTTTTCTCATTGTTTTGGCTTGAGTATTATTGCATTATAATATTTTGATGTGTGTAGAACATTATAGGTCTCGGTCAGGCTATAAATACTTATAAATAATGGAGTTCGAGTTAGTTAGAAGAATAGATAGATGTAGACTGCGTGATTATAAGTATAGTCACAAAGAGCATATAAAGGCGATTTTTAAAGTGAAGTTATCCCTGATTATATTGTAATAACAGAACAGAGAAGAAGAATTCGTCTTGTCAATTGTGTTTTAAAGTAACTGAACCAGACTGTGTGGACTTTGACAGAAAGAGACGATTATTTAAAGCTCTGGATACAAATGTGGTAGTTAATTGCGTAACAAACATTTGTATATACGTTTGACCTGTTTTAAGATATTATTTTAAAACAAGTGCATTGTGTGCTGTTTGTTTATTGTGTAAATATGTCGCCAACAAGTCACAGACACCTATTGTGAAGAATTCAGCCCATACATACATAAAAAACCTGACAGTGGCCAGCCAGCCAGGATCCACAGTGGTAAACAGTGATAAACATAAAGAACAGCAGGCAAAGTATGCCTATATAAGCACAGATGTAATGGTAACGAAAATATTTAGAGATTACAACCACGCTATACAACTATTTCGGCTGACTTTATTAAGTGGATGAAAAGGGCCGACCGACTTGGGTTCAAAGATGGTGATCTACGAGAGTTTGAGAGAGAGGAGCATCAACAGAGAAGAGAAGAGGAGATGCAGAGAAGAGAGGAAGAAAGAGAAAGACTGAAAGAAAATAGAAGAGAGAGGAGAGACTGAAAATAGAGAGAATAAGAGTACAAATTAAGATCACTAAGCTCATCCAACAAAAAGATGAAGAACTCAAGAATGACAATGGGGTCAGGGCCAGCCGATTCAAGCTGCACACATTTGATGAATAGAAAGACGACATAGATGCTTTCCAGGATAGGGATGAAATATTCGCCCAAAGTCAGAAGTGGGACAAAGGCGATTGAGCAGTCTGTCTCAGCCCCCTTTTGGCAGGAAAAGGCCTACAAGTGTATGTGGACATGATGCCATGAACTATGACAAATTATAAGTGGCCTTGCTGAGATGCTATGAACTTACCGAGGGAGGTTTTGTTGGAAGTTCAGAGAAGTCAAACCTGATACTGGAGAAACTGTATTTCAGTTTGTGGCACGTCTATGAAGAACTGGCAGATCTACTAATACGTGAACAGTTCATGATCACGTGCTCCACTGACATGTCACTGTTCCTAAAAGAGAGAGAGAGAACTGAAAGACGTGGACTAGATGATCAAGCTGACTGAAGAATATATGGAAGCCCATGGAGGGAGTATAACTGGCACGTCCAAGAATAACCAGTCAAAGTCAAAACTGGGGTGGCTTACCAGAAGCAGGATGCCACCAAAGGTGACTAGAAGTCAACAGACAAATGGGAGAAGAGATGCTATGCTTGTTATAAAATGGGGCACATTGCGAGTGAGTACAAGTCTATCACCAACAAGCAACTGCAGAAAGCTCAACATAAAGCAGCTGGAGCTGCATACAAAGATGGTGCTGACAAGAAACAATAAAAAAGGGACTGTCACCATGGATGCTGCTGCCAGAAGAAACATAATAGAGACAAATCGTCAGATTCACCAAAAGAAAAAAGTGTTATCATCATGATTAAACAGTGTATGATTAATGGTCAGCTCAAGATAGCAACTGTATAATTATATAAGAAGACTCCCATTGATAACAATCACTGTATAATTATATAAGAAGACTTCTATTGATAACAATCAACTGTATAATTATATAAGAAGACTCCTATTAATAACAATCAACTGTATAATTATATAAGAAGACTCAACAGTACCAGTGGTTCTTGGTGCTTGTGACAAACATCGAGAGGTGCCAACAAACCATAACATGCCAGTAGGTAAAGTCAATGTTGGGGAAAAGAAAGTGAATGCCCTGGGAGACAATGGGTGCTGCAATGAGAACCAGCCTAGTATCTGATAACCAGATAAATGGACAAAATATATCTGTGTATGCTGACTGATGGTACAGTGAGAAAATTTCTCATAGCAAGAATAAAGGTGAACATTTCATACTACGTGGTATACCTTAAGGTCATGTGTATGAAGGCATCCATCTATGACTTGATGATTGGTAATATACCAGGCAGTAGAAGATTGGAGGAACCAGATAGAAAGGAGAGTGATGAGACATTTGCAGTCATCAAGAGAGCCAAAGAGAAGAAAAGTAAGCAAGACAGCAAGCTCCTGCAAGCTTCAAAACGTGCTATCCCGAATGTAGGTCTACGTGAACTGAAGGAAGCACAGAAGAAGGACCCTTCACTGCAGAAACTTTGTGATAGTGCCAGGAAGAAAGTCGAGCACGATACAAATTCAAAATAAACTAACAGAATAGAGGACCCACGGGGAGTGCTGTATCAGGTCTATCAAGGCAGTTCTACTGGGGAAGTTAAACAGATCATAATATCAACAGAATACCAGACTCAAGTAATGAAGTTGGCTCATGAGTCGATTATGGGAAGACACCTAGGAGTGAAGAAGATGGCAGACAGAATCACAAGCAACTTCCATTGGCCAGGGGTCATCAGAGATGTGACCAGATTCTGTAGATCTTGTGACATCTGCCAAAGGATGGTGCATAGTGGGAAAATAGCCAAAGTGCCACTGTTGAGATATCTCTCATAGAAAAGCCATTCAGCAGAGTAGCTGTGGACTACTGCCACCTGTATTCGACAAGGGCAACTGGTACATGCCGATATTAGCTGACCATTTGACATTTTACCCAGAAGCCATAGTACTGCCGAAGATGGGGAGAGTAGCAGAAGCCCTTCTGGAAGTTTTTTGCAAAGTAGGCTGTCCAAAAGTGTGCTGTTTGTTTGTTGTTGAAATTTACTGCCAACAAGTCACAGACATCTACTGTAAAGAATCCGGCCCATACACACATAAAACTTGACAGTCTGTAACAAATTCCAACTGAAAGCCTTCTCCTCTTACAACCACTAACAGAAATCCAAATAAATTCAACCTCATTGCTATTAACTTTCATATCCTGGAACTCACATTTTACATATAATGCTATATCAAAATCCTCTGTTTCAACCATTGCTCTAAAGTTACCCATTATATTTCTTAAAGAAATGCATCAATGCAGTAGCAATTAGGTTCCTAAGACGAATGCTTACAATATCATGGAACACTCATACAAATAATGAAGTCGTTCTAAAGAAGGCCAAGACAAAAAGGATGTTGTGGGAAAATTTAAAAAAGAGACAATGGGGTTTTATAGGACATATCCTGAGAAAAGGAGATATCGAAAAGATCATTATGACAGGAAAAATACCAGGAAAGAAAAGTAAAAGAAGACAAAGACAGATGCTGCTATCAACAATTGACAAGAAACTAGGAATTACCACTATAGAAATGATAAGATCAACGGCATACAGGGGTCAGTGGAAGACCATGCTCACCAATGCCCTAGATGAACATGGTACCTAGACTAGACTATGTTTCTTATATTTCTAGTATTACACTAATCTAAGTCTACTATTAAAACTATTTTTGTACTTTGTTCCCATAGTATATTCCTCTATACATCGTATTTTTTCTTCATTATTCTGGTCCTTTCTACTGTTTAATCCTAGTTTAAAGTTTCCCTTACAGTTGAATTAATAGTCTTTGCAAACAAGCCAACCCCCTACTCTATTTAAATGTAAAGCATCCATTCCAAAAAGCTCCCTTTTCCTATTGAACTGATTCCATAAATACAATAAGTCAGCCTGCTCTTCCTTACATATTTACATAAGTAGTATTCAGCCTCAGTGACCTACTTATAATTTCATCTTCGCAGTTAAGTCTTGGCGGTATCCTGATAGAATTAAGTTATTACGGCCCTTTTCCTTTAATGCCTTTATTAATGCTTTATACTTAACAAATACGCCTTTTGATGTACCCCTCCCTACATCATTAGCTCTTTGGTGCACTACATAGACTGTATCACTAGTAGCGCCCTTAACTAGTGTATATCACTTGCTCTTTCCGTTATATCTCCCACCTCTGCTCATGGATAGCATAATCTAACTCCTTTCTCTCTATTTACCACATAGGCTATCTTATCCACATGCCATACTAAAAAATCTCCTATAAGTCTATAACAATTTCAATCTCTAATTTTCTCATTCTCATCCCTATCCGTCCCTTATGTTATTTTTCTTTTCTCAAATTAATCATCTAGACAAGCCAAAGGCTGAAATCTGTTATTTACCAAAGCTTACTCTTTATAATTAAATCTATCATCATTAGCCCTATTATTATTGCTTCCAACCTCCCGAAAGTCATCACTAGCCCCAGTATCTTTAGCGTACAAAAGTTCACTTTACTGTCTAAATCCTGCTGCCACCTCCCGCAACTTATCTTTCTACTTTTCCATTACCTCTATCCTACTTAAACAGCCCTCAGTTTTCTCTAACCTACAAACTACACATACAAACTTTACAACTTCACTGTTAACTTCCCAACAGCCCCAGAGGCTCATCGGTATGTCTGCAGAATTACAACGCTAGAAACCATTGTGTAGCTTTGTGCTTAACTACAAACAAACAAAAACTCCTAACAAAGTTATAGAAAAATTGAAGTTGTATGCAATTTACATCATTATTACCTTATTTATAAGGTTTTTAATATCAGTTTTACATGTTAAAAATAACGTTAAAAAGTAAAAATGCAAATACTTATTATAAAATAATATATATAATACGATAGGATATATGGTGCTTGTTTGTATTTTCAAAATCTTCTTTACAGTAGATGTCACTATCGTATCACGGAGTGATATTGGCATGAGAGATATCATTGACCTCGAATTTAAAAAGTTTATAATAATAATAATATAAACCTGCGATAGATACAGAGAGTGAGAAAGACAAAAGTAGGTCTATATAGGGTGTAGTATATCTTCATCATTAAGAAAGCTAGTTCTAGCGAAATTAATTTCAGAGAGAATTGAAGAAGTTGTATCAATTCAACTCAAGCCAAGGTGAGTCATAAATTATAAAATATTAATTGAGGGTTTGGCTTCATTTCAGTTTCCAGTGTGAATTAAATAAAGTTATATTTTTGTGTGTCAAGGGCCTTAAATGAAAAAATGTAAAGTAAGCTAAGTTATCGTCTATAATTAACGCATAATATTACAACTTATAACTTAATACAAGTATTAAGAGTAAGAAATTGACGTATTACCGGTTTGGGTCATAAAATAAATACGCTTTGGAATTTGGACCAAGGTGTTCGTTTTTCAACTTTTTGTAGCCCTATGTAGGTATCGTACTACTATGTAGGGTTTAATTTAATTTTTTTTGTATAACTTATAAGCATGTATATCGAGTAAAATTTATAAACAATATAAAGCTTAGCTATACTAGAAATAGTTTATTTTAACACTGTATCATCAGTGTATGTTATTTATACTCATTTGTAGTTAACAAGTTTTAAAATATGTAATTCTTTATTATTACTATTAGAATGTATGATCTCACTAAGACCTTAACTTAAGACTTAAGAATGCAACATGGTGGGATATTAGGAATTCAGTGTTTTATATTTAATACATTAACTTTAACCTTGCATCATATATACAGTCTTTTTCAGTAATACTAAAGCGAGAAACTTAGTGGGTGCATTTTAGTAGGACAACCAGTTTTGTTAAGAAGATAAGGATAACAGGGAAACCAAAACTTCATTGGGTTATGTTGGCCATAAACTGATAAAGGAGAAAATCAGGGATAAGTAATGTAAGTTTAAGAAGTTTATATTGATATATACAAGATGGAACTGGAAGATATACAGAACTATAGGAAAGATAATGATTTGCTTAAAAGTAAGTTAGGAAGCCAATAAATGTTTATGAGAAACAGCTATCTGATAATAATTAACAGTTATAGCAGTGATTTATTTTTTAAGTGTGTCAAATGCAAACAGGATGTTTAATTAGTGATTGGACCAATTAACAAAGATGCAGATGACAAGGTTTTTGCTGAGGACTTTGAGATGGCAGAGTTTTCAAATGTTCCCTTCTATTTTTACAGCAGAGGATATTATTAAGTAATATTCTTGACCCTGAGCTTTCTGTGGAAAATATTGAAACTTGTATGAATGATGTAGATATTAACCTTTAGATAGTAAATAAAATGATTAAGAGGTTATAAACAGGTAACATTCTGTGACTAGACAGTGTTTTTTTTCTAGGGTTTTAAAAAGAGATCTGATATCAGATGTACAAGTTTTTCTCTCTCACATTTGGTAGTGCAAGAGACAATGGGCAGGTGCCTGAGGATTGGAGAGTTGCTAATATTACTCATGTTTTTAAAGAGGGTGACTGTAGTTTTCCTGGAAAATATAGGTTTTTAGTCTTACTTCTGTCATGCAAAAAGTTTAGATTTTAATAAAAACAATAAGCTTTGGAAAATAATTTAGTGAAATATCATAAAAATAAATATATGTTTTTATATATGAAAAGAGCTATATAGATTCATTAAAGGAGAATCTTGCTTTTTCTTAATCTGCTATTTTTTTAGGATATTAGCATAATATAACATAAAATTTATGGACAACAAAGGACTTATTGGTCCATCTTGACTGTCTTATTCACTAATCTCAAAAAACCAGAGCCAGCTCTTATTACTTAAATATTTATGAAGCCTTTCCTTAAGCTCCCTTAAATTCACTGCATCCATCACATCTGAAGGTAACCTATTCCAAATGCCAACCCCCTCTTAAAGAATAAAATTCCTAGTTTAAGATCACTTATACTCTGCTAAAATTTATACTTGTATCTCCTAGTTCTACCACTATCATCATTAATTACAAAGAAACAAAAGATAATGAGCAACATTATCAGTTCCCTTAAAAATCATAAATTTGTTGAAAAGAAAACTATTTTGGGGATCTTAACCTGTCCTTGTATGACAACCTTTCCATCCCAGGTATCATAGCCCTTCTTTGAATCCTTTCTAAAAATTCCTTGCCATTTCTATGGTAAGGAGTCCAAAACTGAATAAAGTACTCCAAAGTCCAAAGGAGGCCTAACCAGTGACCTCTACATTGACATTATAACATCTTTAGAATTATATTCAATATTTCTGTAAATATAACCTAAAAGCCTATTTGTCCTACCACTGCATGAATTGAGAAGACTCATAACACAGGTAAATTAATATGTAGAATTATACACAGACTTTTTCTAAGTTAAAACACTTTTATTTGTGAGCTTACTGATCTCTTATTAGAGACTTCATCAGGTAACAATGTAATGAGCAATAAAATTTAAAGGTTTAATTTTACAATTAAACCATGACAAATAATATATTTTATATCTGTTATTAGTGGTTTCCAGGCAGCATTGAGTAGTTGTTGGCTGATGTTTTGATTTATACCCACTGGTGGTCCACCATCTTGTGCTTGGATGGCAATACTTCCTTGATTTGTCTGAAACACAACATCTATTACAGATAAGATACAAAGAGATATTAAGACCTGTGCTATAAACACATCAGCTGTAGCTTTTAATGTTCAGGAAAATGACCATATAAAAGACCTAAAGATGTCAAAATAATAGACAGAAAAGAAAACACTAAACATAGAAAAATGAAGAACGTATTGCCATCCAAGCACAAAACAGTGGACCACCAATGGGTATTAATCAAAACAACAGCCAGTACTACTCAATACTGCATAGAAACCACTAATAAAAAACATAAAACATATTATTTGTCATGGTTTACATGTAAAATTAAACCTTTAATTTTACCATGTATAATTTGAAGTTGTAAAATTCCTTTATGTTTATTATATCCAAGCAATTGATTTATGTTCTATACTCATCATAATTCTATATGTTTTATAACTTTAATACGAGATATCAATTATTGTTACGACTGTTACCTAGATTCCTATTTTAAAGCAGTGTTCCACAGTTTAATGAATTTTTATTGTTCAATACATTGTTGCCTGTTCAAGGTTCTCATAAGAGGGCCAAAAGCTTGTAAATAAAAGTATTTCAATGTAGAGAAAAGTCCATGTATAATTCTACACATTGCTTGAATGGCTTAAGGAACTTTCCTGGATAACTGAAATGGTGTGGCTATGTATTTAGTATAGTTATATTTTCAAAAGGCTTTTGATAAGGTGCCACATAGAAGATTAGTTAAGCACATCATATTAGTGGGGGAGAAATTAATTAATGGATTGAAAAGTGACTGGGTGAGGGAAAGCAAAAAGTTTTTATTAATTGAATCCAATCAAACAGGACCTTTGTTACAAGTGCCTTTGGGTCTCAGTGGTCAGTGCTTGGGTCTCTGCTTTTTCTTACTTAAATTAATGATATTGATAGGGTATAATTAGTAAAGTTTACTGATGACATTTAAACTCTTGGGTATTTCTAGCTGTATTGAGGATGTTTAGGTAGTACAGAATCACTTAAGTTGGAAAAATAGTTTATTATAGTTAAGTGTTTGATAATGCATTTAGGTTATTGTAATTTGGATCACATGTTTCATATGAATTGTAACTCAATAGCATGACCGAATTAAAGGATTTTGGCACAGTGAGAAATAAAGCACCCAAGCTCTTGAGGTGGTACTCTGTGTCTAGCTGTATAGTGAACTAACAATAGAATTGTAACATAACCTATGGATAACAAAGAACCATACAGTCTTTCAAGATTGTCCTTCTACACCAACCCTTGAGAAGAGTAAAAATTTAAACCGTCCTTTTACTTTTCAGAAAGTCACTCATTCCTCTTTTGAAACTCCTGTAATGTGCTAGCCTCCTCTACTGTCAATAGCAACTCATTCTATAAGTCTATCACCCTGTTAGGAAAATAAACTTGTCTTATCTGGAGCCTAGCCTGTCTTTTCCATATCTGTATTCATTATTCCAATTAAGGTTTAACTAGTGGTTTATATAAATAGATATTTACTTATTTCAACTTTCTAATCAACTTGTCTATAAATAAATCCTAAAATTCTATTGGCTTTGCTACTAGTAACAAAGCACTGCCTTGATGACTTGAGATTGAGAGGTTAAAGCTGTCTGATTTCTTTGTGCTGAAGATAGTAAGGCAATAATATATGAGTTTAAGTTCTGGAGAAGGGAAGCTTGGCTCCAGTAAAACTGTTTTATTTTTATTTTAGGGAGATAAGCTTATGAAAAGAATTGCCATCAGAATTTTTGGAGGCTTGCACACCTAACAAGTGTTCAAGAGAAAAATCAATGATTTCCTGAAAACAAGAGGTTAATCTAGGTCTGAAATTTGTTTTTTTTTTCTTGAGGGTAGATTTACAGGTGTTGCCTAGAATGACTAAATGATCCTTTTTTGTATATTTGCTATGTTAAAGCAGTAACGATAATCAGTTAACCAGGGATTGCAAATGTATTTTAGTACTAAGAGACAAAATTATACCAAAATAAGTTTAGAGTTGACTTCTATATGAATAGTATGCTATAGATTTATTAACACAAGCTGCTTTACCCACAATATTTGAACAGTGGTATTATATTTTTGGCTTGTGATGAAATTTAAGTGTTTTTTTTTAAATCAAATATATGTATGACATTACTACATTAGGCTGACCAGACATCCTGGTTTTGCTAGAACAGTTCTGTTTTTGTGTAGTTTGTCCCAGTGTCTCAAGAAAAGTTCTTGGGATGATGCACAAAACATCCTGGTTTTATGGTAAAAACATTAAACTGTCATTGACATTGAATCATGAATCTAATAGGCCTACTTGACTTGCTCATTCTTGTAACATTTACTCTCCTGCTGCCGAACTCTCAAAAGTTCTGTCTGAACTTGGTGAGAAACCTAGGTCTGTGGAGACTGTTAAGGCATTGCTCATTGTCAAAATATGCTTTACACAGTTGTGTATTGAATTCTATGACTTGTTAATGAAGAAAAAACAACAGAACTTTTACATTCCATTCATTTTTCATAAAAATATGTAGAAAAAGCTTCAAAGTAATGCTAAACCTAAAAGTAGTATGTTTGAAAATGTTAAGGATTCTTCAATAGATCCAGGTATGAAGTAACCTATTTTAAGATGGATTGAATAAAGTGAATAATTAAAGATTTCCTTGATGTATATTTTGATTACTGTTGTTTTGTATCTATCACCAAAAATCATAGTTGAAATTATTACAAAAACAATGCCAATGTTCATATATTTGGAAATATTGAATAAGTTTAAAATATGTTAAATAAAAGTTAACTTATTTCAAATTAGTAATAACCATTTTGAAATTAGGGGCAAGAGCTGGACTGCTACAATTTTCATTTAGGAAATTGGTCACTCTACACTATATGCCAAAGGAAGTAGACTTAATTGTACTCCTGGCACAGATGCTATAGGTTTGAAACTTCTACCTATATAAAAATGTTTTTTACTGAGGGTTTTTTTTTGTGACAGTAAGTTTAGTTATATTTGAAATTGAATTAGATTTTTGTTACGTTTGAATTTGAATCTATCTTATACTACAATTAACAGATCATCTATTTGAGACACATTAAAATATTGTAATTTACTAGTGTTAAGCTACTCAAAGCCTGGATATTCTGGGTTCTGTAGGTTATAAACAAGAATGATATGTAATAGTTTTGAGTTTTGCACAATTATTAATAACTTGTTTGGCTTCTGAAATTGTTGTCAGAAATTTTAAGAAATTAAAATACAGAAATATATGTATTTAACAAAATATATTTTTGTGTTACAGTATTTGCAATTTCTAAAACATACACCCACCTCTCTTCACATCAAACAGATTTAGCACCATTGCCATGGAGATTTTTGCACACACCAACAATATTGAACAAAGTTCCCACCCCTATATCACCTTTTTTTTTCTTTTTTTCTTCTCTCTCTCACTTCCTTTCTGCTCATCTTGATCTCGTACATATTCAAATTCTTTACTATCTTCTTTTGCTTCATCTTCTTTTGAGGCTTTAAATCATAATTCTTTCAGTTTTACTGGGAAAATTTGTACACACCTGTTTTTTTCAACTTGCCTTCAATTTGTTCTTCTGTTGTGCCACAGTTCATTTGGTTTCTTTGTTTCTGAGATGTATATTATCAGGATGGTTTACTTAATGATATTCACCTTTCTAAATCTTCTATCATGGATTTCTCTTTTGCACTGTTTCTCTGTGATGAAATTCATTGGAGTGTTTCTTATACTTTGGAATCTTGAGCTGATTCAATTTGTTAGCAGTCATCTCTTCTCACTATGGTTTCTTGTATTTTTGTACCAGGGACATCACCATGTTTCTTTTTCTTTACAGCTCTTCTTCTTTTTTTTTTCTTGTATGACCATTATGACCCAGATCATCTATTGTGTTCTTTATGGACTGTTTGTTGTTACCTCATTCATACTTCATACAATTAATAATTTTTTTTTTTACCAAAGGGTTATTTTGACAATATTCAACAAGAGTATTCATTGCATGAGAAGGATCTTGTCTAGAAAGGAGCTCATCTTAGTAATTTCTTTCTCCAAAGTGGCCACTCCACCATCTTATTAATGTGGCATTCTAGCTCTTCGTTCTGTAAAAGAGTTCACTATACTTTTTCTGAAGTTAAAATTTTTTCTTACCTGAAAATGTGTTTCAGGTAGGTACTTCACCTCCTTGGAAAACTTCCCACCCTTCCTTCCCACTTCCAGTATTTCTTTTGCCTCATCAAGATTGAGCCTTTGTCCCAGTGCTAGTGCTCATGGAGCTAATGTGCATGAAAGATGTGTTACTCTTCTATTGGTGGATGGCTGCAATCTAATGATTATTAAACTGTAGACTGTCACAGTCCATGCTAATACATGTAGGGGGAGCTTTTTTCAAAGCTTGTGGCATGCATAAAAAATCTTCATGGCAGTGGTGTAAAGTAATAGTTCTTTGTTGTGCAAGGAGGTATCTATCTGAAATATATATTTTAGGTACAGAAAATAATGTTAACATTGAAAGCTAACAAACTTTTATTTTTCTCTTACAGGACAGTTGGAGCAATCACACCCAGACGCTTCAAATTTCATCCATTATTAACATTTTTTATGTGTATAGAAAATTAAATTTACCTGTTTTTAAAGCTGTACATCTGTACAATATTTAATGACAGTATCTGTAAAGTGTTTATTATTGTGATATATATCTGTTAGGTTTTTTGCACTTTTCTTAGTATGTTGGAAAATAAGTTAAATAGAAATTTTTTAAAGGAGTCTGAAATCTTCCACCCCTTAGCTTTTATTGAAGGCATTCATAATGATTTACTTGATATTAGAATTGAAAGAAAAGAGCAAACACATTCTATCAAAAGAGAAGATATATATCTAACAGCTGGGTCAACACATTTCAAAGTTCTACTTCCTCTTAAATGTGGGGATAACAGTTTTATTTTGCATTGTGGCAAGCACGAAATTCCCTTTAACTTAAAGTATACGGCATCTGTTAATAAAAAATTTGTAAGACTAGTTTATATAAAATGTAAAGATGATGATGGTCAGTTTCAAGCTCCTTCAGAGGAAAACAACTCTGTTTCAAGTGCTTGTTCAAGGATATCTTTGGGAGCTCAGCTTTTGCAGACGTTCACAGCAGAGAAAATGAAAGAACAGGGTTTTCCAGCAAAAACGTTCCACTTGGAGGAAGATGAAAACAACAAGCCAATCTGTTATGTGTTCACATCTTCATTAACAGTATTGGAAGCTCAACAGTTGAAGGGGGAAGCATTGTGGAGCCATTTTGCCAAAGAATTGATGAACAGCTCTTTAAGAAATGACAATTGCAAGTTTTTGGCATTCTTATCATTCACAAGATATCAGAACTCAAATGGTATCATTCCTAGCAACCACTCAGAAGTGCTTGACCTTGTCAAAGGTCATGTTGCACTTGGTGCAAGTGGCTTAGCTCTACTCGGGACAGGATGTCTTCACACTTGGGCTCAAAATCTAGAAGAACTGAAATGGCGTTTTAATGATAATCGAAAAATCAACAAGAAGGAACTTATGGATGACAGTGGTTTGAGGTAAGAAAGTTATGAAAACTTTCACATCAAAATGTTTTAGAAATTTAAAATTTATACACTGTTTTCAATTAATCCAACTATCCAAGTAATCAAAATATGGTCATTATGATTTCTCTGTATTATTTTTGTTTAATTCAAAGTTGTTCAGTTTAATTGGGTAGTGTCATAACTTAAGAAAATAATCAACTAATCAATCTTTTGATTATTACTATTTTCAGTTATTCCAGCTATCCAAGTATCATATAAAAATAGATTAATTATAAAAATCCATTAATTGCCCAACTCTATAGCCACATTATACATGTTCTTCACATGTAACTCATGAGGTCTTATCCACATTACTTGTGTTCTTCACATATAACTCATGAGGTCTTATCCACATTACACATTTTCTTCACATGTAATTTGTGAGGTCTTATCCACATTACACGTCCTTCACATGTACCTGGTGAGGTCTTATCCACATTACATGTGTTCTTCACATATAACTCATGAGGTCTTATCCACATTACACATCCTTCACATGTATCTGGTGAGGTCTTATCCACATTACACGTGTTCTTCACATATAACTCATGAGGTCTTATCCACATTGCACATGTTCTTCACATGTATCTTATGAGGTGTTATCCAAATTACAAATATTTTACACATGTATCTCATGAAGTGTAGTCAACATTACATGTGTTCTTCACGTATCGTGTGAGGTCTAATTTGAATTACTTTTTGCTCTTTCTGTTCTCTTGCAATATGAAATATATCAGTATGCTGGAAAGAGTGCGTAGATAACATTGAGAATGATTCCTGTATTTATATTTAAACTGTATGTAGGAGAGGAGTTAGAGTTTTGGACTTATTTTCTCCAGAACACAGAAGGGCTATCAAAAAAATAAGTTTGACCCTAAGCATCCAAATCTTAAAACTATCATCCTAATATTCACATTTGTCTTTCCAACTCTCTCAGTTTATCAATTAAATAGATTACTTGGCTAATAATTTTGAACACTTGAATGAAAACTTAAGTCCTTCCTAATTTCTTCTGCACTCCAAAGAAAACGAGTCAAAGACTCAAAGCTTAGTACTTTAAATGAATTAAGCCAGGAATCATTCAAGGAGCTTTTCTTTGAACTCTTTCAAACATGTTGGTATCAGTCCTGTCTTAAGAGTGTTGAAACCGGAAACACTAAGTACTCCAAACAAAGACTCATTGGTATTTCATACAAGGCAACCAGAATGATTGATTCCTCTTTAAAAGGGATTTAACAACGAGGGTAGAATTTATTCTCAATACAAATAACAATTATTATGATACAGATTGCAAAATTATGCATCTTGAATGGCTAGTTATGCACCTTTATTTTTAACAATGAAAACTTGGATATTAAAAATTAGTGCTAATTGCATAAAAGAAAATATCCAGTTATGTTTTTAGAATATATTGTTTCAGATATTTCATTCTGGAACATACCAGATGGTTTATATACTGAAGACATTGATTTTATAAAAGTATTGGGTTCATTATATTAGTAAGAAATTTTTTCATATAGCTTTCACAAGAAATTTTCATTATTGGATACAGTTTAGGAGTTTTATTAGTGAACTTAATAAGCACTATGCAGCTTAGTATCTATTGAAAATGCTTGTAATAACCTCTTGCTCACAGTCATGTTGTGAATTCACTTCAAAATTTACACATATGCTTCTCATGTATGTATGTGTGTATATGTAGAAAGAAACACACACACACACACATACATATATATATAATAACAAAAAAGTTATGGAAATACTGAAATTGTTAAATTGTATGGCAGCAAGAAAACAAGCATAAAAAATTATTATGTAGTTGCAATAACTAATTGTTTGTGATTTCAGAATGTATACTACTTGTATTTCCTTGACTATTTCCATTTCTCTGTATATATATATAATTAAAAAAGGTATTAATGTGCATATATATGAATATGCAATTTTTCTTAATGTTTTTGCCAAACATAATAGTAAAGCATTTGTCAGAAATGAGCATGAGTTCTTACATGTAATATATTTCTTATGTTAAGCTGATATGTTGGTGTCTTCAGGTGTGACCTTGTGCTCTTTATTTGTGCAGATGGTTAAAATGGTTACACTTTTCTCTTCATTCCTTCATTAATACTAGTAGCTTTATTTAAATGTATTTCATTATTTACAGAGGAACTCATTGGGCTTGTTACTCTACTGGTCTCGGAGCAACTCTACATGAACTAGGTCATACATTTGACTTGGGTCATTCCACATATGGCATCATGGGAAGGGGGTTTGATGACATTTACAAATTTTTTACTGTTCAAGATAAATGTTGTCAACCAAATGTACAAGACGATATGAAGGTAGTAACTACACATAAAAATTTTGTTCACATGCATGCTTTTACCAATGCATGGTAAAAACTATACATTTAAAGCTAGTAAAAAATACTCAACTACCATGTTGCATGTAAAGAATATGAACTTTAGCCTTAAGTAGTTTATCAAAGTATAAAGAAATCAAATGTAGAAATAATGATATTAATATACATCCTTCTGACATGGTAAAGTGATTAATGCTGTCTGTAAAAGATTATAGTTATTTTAATTCATCAGAGAGTGAAATTCTATAGGACTTTACTGAACTAAGTCATGATACTTTGTTAGATTGTAAGAAATTTATAATTGTGGAAACACCAGATGTACATTTTTGAAGTGTTGTAAAACAACTATTAATAAGAACTTCTGAGAGTTCCTAGAGGAAATAATTCTCAACTTTTCCAATTAGTTTTCAAAGCTATAATGTTGCGAGTCAAAAGACATATAAAGTATATTTTCAGTTGTATCATCTATCAGTTCTAGATATTTTAAATAGTGTACAGGGTTTTTATGGGTCCTCAAAATACTGGAAAGTTATAGAATTCTGAAACTTCATTTCTAGGCTTGGAAAGTCATGGAATTTGAAAAATTTAGTTTTATGGCCTACATTATTTGTAATGCACAGTAAAACATCATCCTAAACCCTTTATTTTCAATTATTTTGGCCCATTAGTGATTCAGCAGTTGGTTTGGAGGTTTATAATGCTAAAACCAGGTTTCAATACCTGTGATGGACACAGCACAGGTAGCCTTTTGTGTAGCTTTGTGCTTAACAACAAATGAATGAACAAGCTTCTTGGTTCTTTTTTGTAAGTTAGCCAATCAAACTTAGTGTTTTTCTTACAAAAATCAGTCATATTACAGCACTTCAGTTGTGTTGAATACATGCAGTTGGTGTACTAGGCATCAGCAGTCTAAATACTACAGTGGACCAATCAAAAATTGATATAGCAACCTTTTTTTTTTATCTTTTGTGCATTTATCTATATACAAAAGTAATGAAATGTGATGAACTATCTAAAATAACAACCTAGAAATATGTAAAAGCTTTTAAAAATATAGATTTTTAAGTTATGAAATATTGAAAACTATAACTGAAAATATTTTAATTTGTAAAACATGTTAAGCATCAATAAGTTGTACCTGAAGGTAGCTGAAATTATGCCAAGGCCTGTCTCATCATGTAGAAATGAAATGCTCAAGTATAGAACTACTTTTTCTAATACATTCAACATTTACCTGTACACCCATTTCAATAAGGTCTGGTTAAAATAAATTCTGATGGAATACGTGCATGCTTTCCTATTATTAATTTAGTCATAAAGAAAACTTGATAGATTTGAGTAAATGATTGTTGTTTTTTTTGTGAATCAAAAAGCAACATCAAGATGTAAGTTCTGGAAAATTCCTAGAATTTTTTCTTGATCAAATGTATAAATCTTTAAGTTTTTAATGAATAATGAGAATCATGTTTGTACAGATCAATTTGTGAATGAGTTATGCTTTCTGCTTATAAAATTAGCACTAACAGCATGTAATAAATAACAATTCTATGCTTGTTCAAAGTAGATACTGATAAGTTTTATTTTTGCTTAGTAGGTAATAAGCAAAACCAGTTGTACTGAAGTCCATAACCAAGTACCATTAATAAAGAACTTATGTTGGGAAACAGTTACACCACCTGACAGCAACACAGTAGCTGGTTTTCATGGAGTTTCTAAAAGTGATTACAGAGATTTAGGTGAGGAGTTTCATGTAAATCACAAATGTACCATGTGCAATGCAGTGTTCTTTTGTACAAACAATTTTATTCATTAACATTTAAATGTTCAACGCATCTTCACTTCTTTCTTCTATAGTTTCCTTGTCTACCAGCTCAGCTATTTGTCAGTGGAGTCAAGAGATTTTCTGGTCAAGATCATGTGCTGTTCTGTTGAATTTCCACAAGTAATTTAATAATTTTTCTTTTTTCATAAATATTACTTAATCCAGCTCTGTTGTAGTATATCTAAAATATGGACACTTCAGTCACAAAGCATAATAATCATTGAATGTCTTTAAACTTAAATTAAATTATGTTTGAAAATAAAATATATGAAATATACACCACTACATGATGTAGCTGTATAACGTATCACAATGCAATACACCCAAATCATTGGCTTGGAAGCAATAGCAAACTGCAGGCTTAGTGATGCCATATGCTAGCCCATTTTTTTAATGATATTTTGCAATGAAATATATATTGTGAAAACTAATATTAATAGATAATATTTATTTTACTACATTTTATTTATAAAAGATACCTCTGTGCTCCTTTTAGAAATTATGTACAGCTGTTTCCAAAAGACCTCTCACTAATCTTTAAGTTCATGGTTTTAAATGACAAGCATGGGTTTTTATAAAGCAAAATGCAACTGCCAAAGAAATTACTTCAATAAAATAAAGAAACAAACATGGGAACCAATAAAATAGCATACAAAAAATGCAAAACCATGATATAGTAAGATTATTTGAAGGCATGTGATCAAGAAAGGTTTCTGACATCATAACAAAACTAGAAATTTACTATTCACGTGAAAAGGAAGGGAGTTTTATGGCAAATAGATTTTGAGAAGGAAAATAAATCCAGAATTCAGCTGATATATTTATCGTTTTGTTAGCATTAAAATGTTTATAAAACACAAATTCCAAAACATACTTACCCTCCATTGACACTTTAGCTATTCCTCGACCTTGGCTTTGCCTATTTAAGCATTGGTTTTTGCATGCTCCAGTCTTTTATACCCACTTAAATGCCCTTGGCAATATCTAATTTGCAAATTTCTCCACCTGCATCAATGTGCCCTCTATCCTGACACTGTATATAAGCACCTCACTCAGATGATGTAATCACTTTTTTTTTGACAAAGCATTGGTCACGGTTTTATCTGACGAAGTGCTGTGGTTCATTCTATTATGGATTGCGATTTTCACATCACCTTGTGAATTTCCATATAATTATAATTTCCTTTAAAAAAAAAAGTTTTGGATGTGATGTTTGAGGGTATGAATTACTGTTGTTAGCACAGCGGTTCATCCGACCTCCCCTATTCCTCCTTCGTTATCTAGCATATATATACGGTTGAGGGGGGGGGTCACTCTCAATTGAGGCTGTTAGTGTTTTGACCTGTTGGGAGATAAAAACATATATTTGGCCTGGAAGGTGTTTTTCTTATGGAACTTCTGAAGTTGCCTTTTTGTTGATCCTGCTTATTCTAGAGAGAAAATTTTTTTTTATGCTTTTCTTTACTAAATTGGCTATTCAGGAGTCCAATATGGATTAACCACCCCTTACTCCTTTTCTTCAGTTTGGGTTATGAGCTTTAGGGGCTTTTCTCTGTGGCCTTTAAGTATACTCCTCATTTGATGGTGGAATGGTTGGGGAGGGGGACTATTTAGTTTTTCATTCTTCACCTAGTTCATGCTGAGAGATTTACTGCTTTATTACATGACAGGATAGATATAACTTGTGCCCTCATTTATCTGTTTGCCTGTTTTGGCTTTCCACTTCCAGGCTCTAGCAGCTGAATAGACTCTGACCTTAGTTTCAGGGCCACTCCATTTGGGCTGACTGACACCAACGACATTGGTATCAACCGTGGGGGGGGGGGGGGGGAGGTTTGGTCTTTCCATTCAATTCTCCACTTTCATTATCCTCTCGCCATGTGGTATTTCTAACCTCCACCTGACCACAGTGGGGTGTGGATTTTTGTTTCACAGCTATCAGAGTTACTTATCATGGGGGTGGTAGTGACAGTTGATCCCATTCTTCTTGGATTTTATTCCTGTTTATTTGTTGTGCCTGAGACATGGGGAAATTCATGAATGATCATTATTATTTCACATTTCAACTCATTCTTTATTTCTCCCCAGTCCACAATGGAGTCCTTTCTCACCCTACCTTGGCATTCTTTACCAGATCCATGGATGCCCTAGTTTGTGGTTACTGAAACATCTCTCCACATTCTCATAGTGAATTCATCTTGCCTTTAGCTATGTTTTATATACAGAGATCAGGTTCTGCAGTTCAGGGATCTAGTCTTTTTGGCTAGCATCAGTATGATATGTTTTCTGCTGGGTTGTACAAGTTTTCACAATGTTTTATACCTGGCTCAGCCACCTCCCATCCAGCTCTTCTAGGCTATGGAATGGGCAGTCAGGCTCTTACTTACAAGGAAGGTTCTATCTCTGAGGTTGTGGGCTCTTGAATTTTTTGGGATGAGGACACATGGTATCCCTTCAGTGGTCCCATTGCAACAAATGGATCTGGAACTTCAGTACACTGGATTTTCCAGTCTCTTTCTTCAGGAGCAACATCTTAGTTCTTGAGTGGTGGTTCGTTTGGATCACCTCTATCATTAGCATGTGTATGTGTATCTATATTCTGTATGTGTGT